TTCCAAATGGCGAAGAATGTGACGTTTAAGTAACTTTTCAAAAAGTCTGCAGAACAATGAGGTGATACTAATCGGTCTGTAGTTGGAGATATCCCAAGTAGGTGGTTTTTTCAGAATGGGAGTTATGTACGAATGTTTCCACAGTCTAGGAACTTCCGAGAACATCATTGATTGATTAAATAAATACGAAAGAGGGAACGCAATAGCATGGGCTACGTTTTTAATGAATACAAGTGGAATATGATCCGGGGTAACAGAGAAAGAAGCAGGCCATTTGACCAAGGTATCATAGATGTCCTTGGGATCAAAGTAAGGGAACGTATCCATCGCGGAAAAATTTGAGGGTGCAAATGGCGGGAGTCTATCATCATCGTTTGAAAACGACTTCTGAAACTCAGCAGCGAAGGCATTGGCCTTGTCAGTGTCCTTCAAAAGTAATCGTCCACCAGATTTTAGATCGGTGAACTGTGTTTTTGAACGAAGTCTAGATCTCATGAATCCAAAGAAACGATGCCTTTCTTTTGATTCAACTATTTTCTTTTCAATACTTTTGTTAAACTTTGCTATTTTCTCCAAAAATATAGAGGAAAACTTCGTGTATCCAGTCCAATCACCACTGAGCCTTGCATATTGCAGAAGACACTCTTTATGTTTCATTTACGTTTGTTTCGCATTTATATTTTTCTCACGCTGTCTTATATAGCGTATGAAATAAATAAAAACTATCTTGAAAATAACCTTGATGTAATCGTCTTAGCAACACAGAAACCAACTTCTCCGAAAAATGGAAGGAATCATTGCTTCAGCATAACTGTCCTCGTCATAAGAAGTCTATCGAGCCGTCACATTTCTAGCAAACTGCACTTGACGGCCATCTACATTCGTTTATGCCTTCATGTTTCAACCGAGAAAACTATAAAAATCAAGAAAGAGTCTTGAAATCCTCTACTTTCCTCTTTACCCCCTTGCCACTGTGGAATACCGGTAATTCATCGAGGATGGAATGGGAATTTCTTCGCACTTCTCTCCTTTATTCGCTCCGTCGAAGCAAACATTCGATAGCTTACCAATCGATGATCTCGGTGGCCATTATAGTGTTTAATGAAATTTCATGTAAAATTCATAATAAGCAAAAGTACAGAGGTTCTACACACATCATTTCTAAAGACAATAAGTGTGCTGCGTGATGAGGCAGGTGAACGTAAACCTTTTGATGTGGCTGAACAATGAAACTCACTATAGACACTTTTATGGGTTTTGTAAATAGAAGACACTGGGAATGCCCGGAAAACGCCGAGCCCTTCTCCTTCTTATGTTAGGTTTAAAATGCTTCATTGAGGCCTATCATTGGGCCTCTGCTTTCCTACTAGAAGAAATAAGTAGTTAGCAGCAGTCCACATCGAGTATTACAAAGCAACACTGGTCGAAAGCGATTGCCATTATCGATCGATCGCTACATTTATGGAGATAATCCCACTACATTACACAATAGATTCCCATATCGGTGTATCGAGCATATACTGCAGAATTCAGTATGCGTTCTAAAAGCGCAACTTGAACTCTCCCATATTGTCGCGGCCAGTGCCCCGAGAGTGAACGCATCGGCGGAGTGAGCCCGTGGACTACGACAGAGTGTTGGTATTGTAAGGATCTATACCCGCTGTACGGAAAAGTGTAGAACCTGAATGCTATGAGGGATAGTGATGTGCTGGAGCCTGCAGCAAGTTGGAAATAAAGGCCTTCGCCTCCTGACGACACCTCCCTAGCTGCGAAGATAAAACAAATAATTAAAGTCTCACGAAGTATACTTGCACTGCTACGCGTACAAGACAAACATCAATCTTCTACATAAATTCAAAGTCCAACGTAAGTTGCGACACATATCCATGACGTCGAGGTACCAAGCAGTTTAACCTGATGCAGAATTTAGGATCGGAATCAAAAAGCCCTCCGTAGTGAGAAAATGAAGCAGATTTCTCGCATAACATACGGTGCAATCAGGACTCATTTTCACTGTTAGGGATTTTGATCCTTGTTTTGCAGGATAAGAGTGGAATCGTTCAACATGGCTTTCACACAACTTCGATCTTTACTTCCAACGTTACCTGTAGAGAAGAAACTGTCCAAAATTGAGATCCTTCGTTTGTCTATTTCTTACATTACTTTTCTTGATAAGCTCCTTTCCTTCGAATAAACCTGTTTTCAGCACATATATCTTGTTCACTGTTGGGAGAAAGATCTTCTAACAAGACCGCCAGTGTTCAATGCTGGGTTCTTCATCGATAATGGAGTGCCAACTCTTAACAAAGTTAAAGGCCCAGTTCACGATAATTTTGTGGTACCCCTTTTCAGTCGAAAAGCGGAAGTATTGTTGGGAATAGTTCATTGGTAGTGAAGAGAGCGAGAAAACTCTCTGGTTTTGAAACAAAGGTTCATTAAAAGTAGGGAAATAGAGTTTGGACGAGATTACCATGACGGTAATAACATGGAAGGGGTATTCGGACGAGATTTTCGTCGTTGCAATTGCGCAAACAGCTGACTACATCGAGCCAGCACCGTACAGAACTGCTTTTCACTACCGCTTTGCGACACGACAAATTGTTGACGACTCTACAATGCCGGTGGAACTCGTCCGAGGATAGCATGAGACAATCTTCGAGCCTTTTTAACTTCCTAACGAGCCTGTTTTCCGATCTAACAGTGCTGAATATGGTGAACGCGGGGGCCTGGAATTCATCCTGTGGGGGAATCTCAAAAACCATTTTCATCGTGAACTGTGCCTTTGAGAAATCACTTGAGAGACGAACTCCCTGATCCTTCTCACAGAAAGCGTGATTGAAATCGTTAGTTTTTTTCGCATTCTCCTGCAATAGCGAAATTGCCACATGCCGCGTGTCGCGGACTAAGCATCCTCTGATGAGACGACCTCGACGAGGACCTCACGCTCCCGACCCGCCGGGTAGCGCATCATTATTCCTGCGTTCCTCGTAGAATGTGGGGGGGGGGGCATACTACGATCAAGAGGTCGTGAGAGCTATGGTGATTTGGGAGAAGATCAGTGGCCCCAATAATGCTACTGTAGCGCTCGAAAGACTTCGGTGAAATGCTTCTTCAGCCGTACTTTTCAGTCGTAACTCCTTTCCTACTGGATCTAGTCGTGCGAAATTTCTATATTTGGAGCGTGGGTGTATTGTGAACATTTACCACTATTAACCTGCAATCTGATCATGTTCCAGATATTCCAAAGGGTATGAATTCCAAATCGACTGAAAATACAGAAGATGGCCCTTATAGAATCTCTTTCCTTTTTGTCATGTCTGGAGTGTACGAGCGGTAATGCCGAGCACAATAGATGAGAAAAACGCACATAAGGTGCGAATAAGTGCAGACGTCAACAACTTCAGTTTTAGCAAAATCTGCTAAAACTAAAGTTGTTGACGTCTGCTAAAACTGCTAACAAACACCTTGCTCTATCTGTGAATATTGTAGCTTTGCACTCAAATAGTGTTGGATAGGGTAAAATATGCTCTAGTTAAACATATCCAAATTTTGCGCGATTCAGTCTACCAAGAAAAAAGTTACGAGCGAAATGCGTCAAAGCATTTCACCGAAGACTTTTGAGCTACTGTATGCTG